CCCCCCCTGCTGGGGCGGCGATCTGCCGCACAGGGACCCCTGCCCCGGGCGACGGACGGCGGACGGGGTCTCGAGCAGCGGACCCGGCGGAGTACCGGACCCCGGGCCCCAACACGCCGGGGTGTGTCGATTCCCCCCGGTCGATGGGGGGGGGGGGGCGGGGGCGGGGACCGGCTGTGGCCGGTGTCTGCTGGGTCCCGGGCCCCGGGCCCCCCCCCCCTCCCCCCACCCCTCGCCGGTTCTCAGGGGGCCTCAGGGGCACACGGTCCCAGGTGAGCGCACACGAGTTGGACGGCCATTCCGGCCGCGGGGCGCGCCGGCTGGCGCCCTGCCCCCCCCCCCCCGTGCGAGCGCGCCACACCCCGGCACGGCACCGGGGCCGGCGACACCGGCGCGCCTGGCCACACTGAGGAATGTCCGGGCGCCCTGGCCGGCACATCGGTCAGCGCCGGGCATACATACGCCGCGCTCGCCCAGGCGCGCGTATGTGCGTGGCGGAGGCATCCCTCCCCCCTGGTCCCGCCCAGCGCGCCGGGAATATATCCCCGCACGCACATGTCTCCGTGTATATTTACCCGGCCCCCCGCCCGCCTCGCCCCACGGAGACGCGCCGGCAATAATAACAACAACAACAACAACAACACACACACACACGCCCCCCATCACCGGCCAAGCCGGCGGCCGGAGCCACTGTTGCCGTGCAATATGCGCCCCCCCCCCTCCCCCTCCCCCTAAAATGCCCCATTCCGGGAGCACACATCCGCGCCCACCGGACTCCCGCCACCACGCCCGGGGGCATTTGCGCGTGTCAGGCGGCCCGCACCGGCGACGGGCAGAGCGGCGGGCGGGCGGGCGGGCGGGCGGGCGGCCTGGCCGGCGGGCGAGAGACCCGCCCACCCCATATGTGTCCCCCCGCTCCTTTGCGGCATCACCCGGCCTTTCGCGCGGGGCCGGACACGGCCGGCCCCATTCATGAGGGTTCGTCGGAATGAACAATGTTGGCGGGGTTCTGGAGTGCCCGCAGACACATCCCGTGTGGGTCTGATGACGGGGTCACGTGTATTATGACACATTCCTGCGGGCGCCCATCCGCCAAAAACGCGGCAGCTGGTCAACAAGCGGGAAAGGCGCCCCCCCCCCCCC